ACTACTACTACGACGACCACTACTACTACTACTACTACCACCACCACCACCACCACCACCACACACCACCACCACCACCACACCACCACCACCACCACCACCACCACCTACTACTACTACTACTACTACTACTACTACTACTACTACTACTACTACTACTACTACTACTACTAGACTACTACTACTACTACTACTACTACTACTACTACTACTACTACTACTACTACTACTACTACTACTACTACTACTACTACTACTACTGCTACTGCTACTGCTACTGCTACTGCTACTGCTACTGCTACTGCTACTACTACTACTACTACTACTACTACTACTACTACTACTACTACTACTACTACTACTACTACCACCTGGGTAGTCGAAGGCCAGCCGGTCAGGTTGGATTGAGGCGCCGGGGCCACTCCGGCATCGGTATCCTGCGAATTCCAATCCGGCGCCAGTCCGTCGCTGCCCAGTCTGATGCTGACCTTCTCAATCTGGCTTTCTTGCCCGCCGTCTCCTTTCGTGCGTGCGGTTTGCGGCCGTCTGGTTGCGCGTTTTCATATTATTCCGTCGGGGCGAGCCAGACTGTCTTCTCGCAGATTGCCAGATTGGCCAGATTGTAGCGGGCGCCAGGTTGCACCAGATTGGGATCGTGGCCAGACTGGCCCTGCTGGACGGCCGCCAGTCCCGACCCGCCCTTTGGGCCCGCCCGCCCGCCCGACTCGACCCGCCCGCTAGGGCCCGCCCGACCCGTCCCGACCCGGCCCGCCAGGGTCCGCCCGACCCGACCCGTCCCGCCTGGAGCCGCGCGTGCTAGCTCGACGACGCATTGTATTTTAATGTCCCGCCCGCCCGACCCGACCCGCCCGTTAGGGCCCGCCCGTTCAGCGAGGCGTTGCCATGGGCAGTTCTGTTCGTGCGCGCGTTCGCGTTCACTCATGGCGCTCGCATGTTCACACCATAAATGTATACCACTTCTCTGTGTGCCATGCTGCTGTTGCTGCTGCTGCATATTGTCTTATTTGCCCTCCTCCTATTCCTCCCCGGGCTCTTCCTTATGCTGCTCTTCCTCATCCTCGGGCGGCCCCATGCGGGAGGCCTCCAGGAAGGATGAGGAGGAGGACAGTGAGGGGAGGAGGATGCTGGTGATATAAATGAGGATGATGATGAGGACTGGATGAGGACGATGTGGATGACAATGAGGATGAAGAGTGCAATGAGGATGAGGATGACGAGGATGACGATGCGGAGGACGATGAGGATGAACAGGATTAGGATTAGGAGGATGAAGATGAGGATGGTGATTTGGATGATACTGACGATGCTAATGATGGCGATGAGGATGGTGAGGATGACGACGATGATGAAGATGAGGAGGGTTCTCGACGCACCGGACGCACCGAACCTACAAAACCCACCACACGCACAGGACCCACCGAACCCACCGGACCCACAGGACCCACCAGACCCAATCATCAGTCCCACCTGGGTATAACAAGAATTCCGTGGATTTTTTAAAAGATTTTTTCCGATCGCAGCCCAAGGCAACAACTGAGATCGCCCCTGTCTGGACAGGCTGGATCGCTGGAGTTTCGAGCCCCGAATCCCCTTGCAGTCGCTTGGCACACATAGCACAACATAGCTAGCGCGGGGTGGCCGAGGGGCGGGCGGCGCTGGCCAAGCCTGTGATAATCGCGACGGGTGCCACGCGCGGGGATTCCATACACCCTCCGCGGGCCGACGCCGCCAGGCGAGGCCTCCGACTGGGGGCGCGGGCAATCCCACCCCCCCCGATGTCGAGCCGCGAGCAAGGGATAACATAAGAAACAACGCGCCCACGAACTGCGGGGCAGGGGCCGCTTCAACGAGCGGCTGCAAAGGCGAACAAGTGCAACGGCGTCGTTGCGCGGGGAGGGCGCTGCCACCGCGGCCACGACAGTTCTACGTTTGCCTTTGCCCACCCACACTGAGGAGACACGCGCCTTCCGATGCCCGAGGTTCGACGTCGCTCGACCGCCTTCAGGATGAGCGGGGGGCAAGGGTGATGAAGCAAAGGGCCATGGGCATGCACCCCTCGTGCTGCGCGCGCGACTGCGCGGATGCGCGCGCGCAGGTGCACGCGCGCGCGCCCGGCGGGATTCACGCACATGCGCTCGCGCGCACGCGCGCCAGCACGCATTGAACGCGCAGCTCGCGCAGGTCATCGCTGGTCGGGGCGAGCCCAGGCTCGCGCGTCTGACCGCCAATACAGACTATACATGCGTAGTTGGACGACCTGGGCAGCGACGCGCTCCCACGCGCAGCCCGTCGGGGGCGACGAGCGGCGCGGGGCGAAGGGCGACGACGACGACGACGACGACGACGACGAAGACGGTGACGCTGGGGCGGCGTCGGGGGAGGAAGTGAACGGGCAGGGGCAAGCGAAGTAATCTCCCTGAACATGGTCTTGGCAATGCCCTCGCCCAGCTCGCAATCCCAGAAGGCCCCAGGATTGACTCCTCTGAGGCACCCTCTGCCTCTTCCACGCCAGCCCCCTCTCGCGGACCAACTCAGGGAGGGGGCGGTCCTCGTCGGCACGTCGCCCGCTGCACTGGGAGGCTTGCGGGAAACCTGCGGGCAGGTAATCTCTTCCACACGCATCTCTGCGGTCAGCTCAACCGCGAGCGCCCCCGCGCTCTCCAAGACGCGAGCCGCCCCACGGCTACGCGCCCCCCCACTCTACCCACCGAGCGCGGGCAGTGGAAGCAGCCAGTCTCAAACGAGGGCGTCTTCTCACTTGGCGCACGTGGGCGCCTTGCGCTTCTTGAACAAGTCCATCGTGGAGGACTGGGCTTTGCGCTTGTCGGCGGGCTTCGCCGCCGCAGACGCCGAGCTCGCCCCGGAAGACTTCGAGGAGATCTTCACGAGGGGGCCCTTGGAGGTCTGCGCCCCGCCGCCGCCGCCGCCGGCAGGCTGGAAAGCCTTCTTCACGCACTCGGCGTGCGTGGCCTCTCCCAGTGGGCCCACCCAAAAGCCCACCACATAGATGGAACCGCTAACCTGCCCAAGGAACTCCCCAGAAGGCGCCATCCAGGGGCGCCGCCTAAAAAGATGCCAGGGGAAAACAGCCCAGACGGAAATTGATTGAAATGTTCCACAACTGTCCAAAACACCAATGCGTCTCGACACGGAGTTCCGGAATATCCCCCCAAAAAAAAAGGACTGCTGTTCCTTCAATGTGCTGGGCATTCGGTTTCCTGGAAAGCCTTCTCCCCAGGGCTCAGCATCCACGCGAACGCATCAAACACCTTGAGGTCACCGAGGGCGACCTTCTTGCCCCCCTTGATGTCCGCGGTCACGCCCTCGAGCAAGAAGTCGAGCGCAGGCTTGCCGTAAATCGTCTTGGTCTGACCGTTGTCCGTGACCTCGGCCCTCGCCAAATACTGCAGACGCTCCTGGACTTCCTTGAGCTTCGGGTCGTCCGCCACTCCGTTGAAAGCCGGGGGGGTTTTCACTGAGAGCGCCTTCACCCAACCGCTGGGGATGTTGACGCTGCTCTGCGCCTCCTCGCTGCCAAACTCGTACCAGACATCCTTCTTCAGCTTTTCCAAGGCCACGTGGATCTCTGCAGCGATCTCGTCCCTGCCGCCAGCGGGGATCTCCTTCATGACCTTGTCGTGCAGCTGCGCCTTCGCGCCCTCGCCGTGGCAGAAAGAGAAGAAAGCTGCCTCTGTGACGATGCTGCCATCAACCATCTGGAGGGCCTCCAAGTTGTCGCTGAAATACTTCATGACGTCGGTGCCGCTCTTGTGCTTCTTGCGGTCTACCTGCGGCGCCAAGTACACCCCAGAAGTGCACCGGGACAACCAATGCCCCATTGGTTGAACCCGTCTGGCCCCTGCACGCGGCTGCAGCCCCGTCGCCAAAGGGGGGGCCACGAGCGATGGCAAACAATCGTGGGCAAGCTCCATAATTAGCAAATATTCGTTCGGGCAGGATTTAATGCGCACGCGTGCCTTCGAGTCCTGGCAGGCGCCCGCGCACTCTCACAAGCCCCCACAGGCGCTCGCATCCAGAGCCGTCGTGATTGTTGTGGCCGCGGCCACGGCCGAGGGCGACGCTCTCGCCGCGGCGGGGCGTCGCAGCCACAATCTGCCACTGGGCTCGTAGAAGCACCCAGAAGCATCGGCAGATACACGACAACTGCCGCTTTAATGGCCACAGGTGCTCACGCGCACGGGGAGGCGCTCACGCGCGCCCACAGGCGACATTTACGGGCCGTGAGCGCCCTGGGCTTTCAAATGCACAGGCAGGCGCCCACTGGCGGCCACAGGCGCCCACGGGCGAGCTGGACCGATCACGGCCATTCATCGAACGATGAATTTCGAGGTCCTTGTTCAACCTAGGTTTCACCAAACACTACTGTGATGCACGATTTTCTCGGGTGCAAAACACCCGCGAAGCGTCAAGACGAAATCCGCGTCGGAGACCGCGGCGGAAATTGCCCTGGACATTTTACCCCGGATCTTGGCGGAGATCGCCGTGGAGATTTTGGCCTGGATCGCCACGGAGATCGCCCTGGAGATTTTCGCCTGGCTCGCGGCGGAAACCGCGGGATATGTTTGCGCTCATCCCCCGTAGAGTTATGATGGGAATATTTCTCGATGAGCTGGTGGGGGTACTTTTTTTTTGGTCGCGGCCGCCAGCGAAGAACGCAGGCGGCGAACAGGGTGTGCAGGCCGACGGGCAAACATTAATTGGCTGGCGGGGATACGCGAAGCGTCAACACGGGATCCGCGTCGGAGACTGCGGCGGAAATTGCCGCGGACATTTCACCCAGGATTTTGGCGGAGATTGCCGTGGAGATTTTGGTTTGGATCGCAACGGAGACCGCCCTGGAGATTTTCGCCTGGCTCGAGGGGAGCCGCGGAGTATGTGTGCGCTCATCCCCCGTAGAGCTCTGATGAAAACATTTCTGGATGGACTGGCGGGGATACGCGAAGCGTCAAGACGAGATCCGCGTCGGAGACTGCGGAGGAAATTGCCCTGGACATTTTACCCAGGATCTTGGCGGAGATCGCCGTGGAGATTTCGGCCTGGATCGCAACGGAGATCGCCCTGGAGATTTTGGCCTGGCTCGCGGCGGAGGCCGCGGGATATGTTTGCGCTCGTCCCCCGTAGAGCTCTGATGGGAATATTTCTGGATGGGCTGGCGGGGATACTTTTTGGTTCGCGGCTCCAAGGCGAGGGACAAGGAGCGGGCACAAGTGGCGGGGAGACGCGAAGCGTCAAGACGAGATCCGCGTCGGAGACTGCGGCGGAAATTGCCGTGGACATTTTACCCAGGATCTTCTCGGAGATCGCCGTGGAGATTTCGGCCTGGATCGCCACGGAGATCGCCCTGGAGATTTTGGCCTGGCTCGCGGCGGAAGCCTGGCTCGCGCCGAAAGCCTCTGATTTTCTCGGGTATAATCAGCTAGGTGCTTTTTCCCGTCAGCGGAGCTGTCGGGTATGAGCAGCTAAGTGTTTGCATTATGTTAGCGGCGCGGTCGGAAAGAGTGGGGCAGGTTAACACATAAAAATGTACATATGTATATATGTAGAGAGATATGGTAAAGTAGGGGGTAGACGCTCGCGGCAACGGCAATAGCAAGGAACAGGTACAGAGGGAAACACAGCTGGCTTTCCAATTCGGACGACATGGCGAAGGAGGATCTAGGAGGAAAGGGGGGGAGGAAGGAAAGGAGCTTCGTTCCACCTGGCCGTTTTGGCCTGCACGGCTGCCCCGCCGAGCGTAGCAAAGGTAAACCGCTGCAACAGCAAGAACCCTGGTTTCGAATCTGAAAGACCTGGGAGTTCGATGTCTTCCGGACGCTCTCGAACGGGTCCAGCAGGCCCTCGTCGAAGACCCTGGCAACCATGTCGTCGACGGGGCACAGGTCGAGCTCGCAAAATAAAGCCGTCAGCAACGGCCGCTTCTCCAGGTCGCCGGGCTTGTGCGACCTCAACGCCTGCACCTTGATGTAGGTGTCGAGCCGCACGCTCAGCTCCTCCCACGCGTTGGCGACCTCGACCTTCGCAGCCACGCCCCTGATGTATGGAACTGATGCAAGCTTGGGCCGCTCCAGGTCCGCCTTCGTGAACTTGTCCTGCATCTTCGCCGTCAGACGCTCGCGCACGGCGGCCACAGCGTCGAACGTCATCGCGCCAGACTCCAGGTGCTTCTGGATATCCTCCTGGATCAAAACCCCGACCCTCGATCCGCAATTCGCCGTGCGGGCGAAACCGAATAACTTTTCGCCCAACACTGAATTTGCGAAGCCTGTCACGGCCTCGATGTCGTCCTCGTGGCCGTCCCATGAACCCTTCGCAACCAACAGCCTGGAGACGGCGTCCCAAGGCAAGACCCTCTCGATCAGCTTCTGGTAGGTCTCACAGAACATCTTCAAGCCGAAACCTTTCGGCCTCAAGTGCCCATAGCCGAACGCGAGGACGGAGTCCAAATGGCACGCGTACACCCCCCGCTCTTTCTGGAAACGCTCCGGGACGCGGGCCCTCACCATGTAGTTACCGATCTCCACGTTCAGCTTGAAGGTCGCAGCGGTCGGTTTCAGCTCGAAGGAGTGCTGGATGAGGCCGATGGCCTCGGTCTGGTTACACAAGTGCGTGCTTGTTTTGCAATACAAGATCAGTTTGTCCCTCCTGGGGGGATTCTCCCGGGACTGGTCCACTCCATCGTACAGCGCGTCGTTGATGTCCTCGTCCTTGTCTGGCTCCAGGTTCTGGGCAATCTCGCCCCGGCTGTACAGGGCGCGCTTCTCATGGAAGTACCCTTTCCCAAACTTGGGCGTATCAGGGTCCTTGTTGGCTGCCTTCATCTTGTCATTGTAAATCACGTCCCACAGCGTTTCCCCATTCACGCTGACCTTGTATATCTCGGACTCCGACAAAGTGCCGAAGTTGTCCTTGATGCATTTCTTCGCCATCTCAAGGGCCTGGGTTTCGACTGAGTCCTTCGAGGCCCGCCGGCTCTTGCCGCGCTTGGCGTCCTCCAGCTGCACCAACGTGGCATCAGGGTCCTCCATCTGCTTGCATATCTCCTTGAAGCTCTTCCTGGCGCTGGCAGCCTTCTTCTTGCCGGCGGCAAGTTTCGGGGAGGCGGCCGAAGCTCTCTTGCCCATCGCAGCTGAAGCTTTCTTCCCCGGTTTGAAGCCCCAAACGTCTGCAAATCAAAATGGGCATCTCATCTCCAACAGCGGGCGCCGCCCCCTGGCTCGTCTGCCGAGGCACTCCAGGGCTTCGGAACGCCATCATATCAGCCTACTCCTCCTCTACCCCCCCGCCTCCTCAGCACCCGCCCCCCCGCTGCCCTTCCCCAGGACCCGCGAAAGCCCGGAGGGCCCGCAAAAGTCCTGCCTGAGAAGCTGCCCCGTAGAGCCACATTTCGACGCGAAATTTGGGCGTGAAGTTTTGGCGCGAAGTTTCGGAGTGAAGTTTTGCAGGCGAAGTTTCGATGGCGAAGGTCGGCAGGAAATTTGGCGTGGAGTTTTTTTTCGCGCCCCACGCCGCCGCTCGACCGATCGATCGGGGCCACTGGTGAATGGGCCCAGGGATTCTTATGTCGCGGCCTCCCCGAAACCGGCAAGCGAAACACGCAGGCGACAAATGAAGTTTAATCCCGCGCGGCGCCTACGGCAGAAAACGAAATTGCTCCTTCACGCCCAAACTTCACGCCAGTCCTGGCGCCGATAGTCGCGCAACCTCTCACAAAAACCCCCCAACTCAAAGCCCCCTGCCCCTGACGCCTTGCTGACGAGGGGCCGCTGAAGGGCCAGCCAAGCTCGTCGGGATGCACGCAATCGACAACCCCCACGTGGGTTTTCTGAACGAAACCGAGCGGGGAACTTTAAGCCTTGGATGTGGGGGCGGGGGCCGGCTTGCCTGTGGGCGCGCCCAGCTGGGGCGAAACGCGCGCCAGGCCTCAAGAAGGAGCTTGTTTTCATACTATATTCCGCCTTGCGGTCACCGAGGGCGGAGGGCGCGGAGCTCCCCGAAACGCCTTATGGCTGCAGGCTTATGGCCAGGCTGGGCCGCCAGCGCTGCAAAAGCTGCAGGCTCGTCGAACCCTGCGAGCTGAGCTGGTGAGAAAAGGAAATGGTCGGGGCAGCCGGCCTCAGACCATATGGAAAACCAGTAGGCGTGCTTGGCAACCCAATATCGAGCACAATCGAGAGCCCCGTCGTTGCCGTACAGGTCCGTGTTGAATCGCATGGCCTTTTGCAAGGAGAAACAATCGCAGAAACTCTCGGCAGCAATGCCAACGCAGCACCCGCACCATGCGTCCTTCGCCATGCCTTTGTGGGTAGCCGTCCACAAACCGCCTAAGGGCTTCACCTTGAAGAACACAACATGGTCACCCTCAACGGCCTGGTGGGCAGCCTCCATCTCTTTGAATACATCCTCCGGACATAACGGAAGAGCCAGATCCTCGTGGTCGTCGTCGTCGACGTCGTCCGTGGGCACGCCATCGTCGTCTGTAGTGACGCCGGCGTGCTTGCGCAGAAAACGCTGTCCCTCGTCTATGTACTGCAACGCCCAAGGATTAGCCAACACCTGCTCAAGTTGATGGGATCGCCGCGCGCTGGCCCCTGGACCACCCCGGTCCCTGGAGCCACCTGGATTGTGGCTGGGGGGCAGCCTGTCTAAGATGTCACGCACAGCCAAAGGGGTAGCATGGCTCCTGCACCTACGACCACCTATGAACATCACATCGGTGAGAACCTGAACTCTGTCTTCGGGCCAACCATCGAAATCGTCGCAGCTAAACCAACACTGCGTGTTCAAAGTGAACTCGTAGTCCCACACGGCGTGGTCGACGAGATCCTCATCGCCGAATGCTGTGACCACGGGGCTCCGAACCCTATCCAAGCCCCAGAGAGCCAGCAATGTGGGGGTCTGGTAAGCGAAGCCGAAAGCGAAGTACGCTGCCTGTTCATCATCGGCGCCACCTTGCACCACGAAGGCGGATCGAAAGAAATGCGCTCGCTGCCAGCATACCTCTGTCACCCAAGGCCGAAGGGGGGCCCATTGAGCTACGGGGAGTTGGATTTGCACCATGTCTAAACGAAGCACTGGATCTGGCTTGCCCGGTGCTTTGGACAAATCCTTGCGCCGCTGCTCAATCTCTTTGACGGTGGCGCCGTACTCCAGAAAACAATGGTTAAAGACGTCCTTGACCGCGCAGCTAAATGCATGCGCCTTCACGGGCACACGTGCGCTTAGAATGCCACTGGGCCCCGAAGCGTTCAGCTGTGCCCCTTCCCTGACCCCGTAAAAGAGGAGGGGGAGGAGGAGGGTGGAGAATCGAGGGTATTACTCCAGTTGCATTGTTTTTTGCATGTTCCTACTGCCCCTCTTTACTGTTCCACCCTCGCCCGATTCGAAACCACACTGCAGCGTCACAGCAGCAGAAGTCGCACAGCAACAGCATAGCAGAGACACTCACACGGCGGCTTCGCACAAACAAAAAGAACACAGCACCCACAGAGCAGGCTCACTTCTCAGCAAGTGCTGAGCAGGAACATCACCCAGAGCCAGAGCAGCATAGAAAGCCACACAGGCACTACACATCACCAGGACTCGCGCAACCACAACACAACATATGAAACCGCAGAGCAACTACACAGACACAGAGATCGCACAGCACAGTGCCACACAGAGCAATTTTGGCCTGCTACCTCCTCCCCAATGTATATTTGCGGCGTTGGATCACGTTTTACTGGTGGCATTGCGTCTTGATTCACAATGTGGGGACAGGTACAATCGGGAATTTAAGGGGGTACTGGTGCGATCGGGAATTTAAGGGGGTACAGCTCCTGACCCTTGAACCTTGAGCGCTGGGCGATGCCTGATCAATTCAATGTGGGCCCTTTTGCCAGATGGCCTGAATAGCTACATTGGCGTTTTTTTCTGGCCCCGGGCCCCGCGTGAGGCACCCGAAGGCCCACGAAAAGCGAGTAATCGTACAGAAAAAACTGCGAGCCCATGAGACACGCATTACGAGTGCCAGGGCGAAGAACGGATGCACAGGCACGGCTGTCCTGCGAACGTGGCCGAAACTCTGCGGCGCCCCCCCCTTCCCATGCCGGCCACGCGCCCCGGAAACAAACGATAGACTATCCCCTCCCTCCCTCCCTCCCCCTGCGCTGGACCTCCCAATCCATGCCTCCCTGAACTCACCTTCTCCTGCCCTCCCACCTCCTCTTGCATTCCCCCTCCCCTGCTTGGAAAGGCTTGAACAGGGGCGGAAATTCGGGCGGTTGTTAAAACCAGCACGACAAGCACACTACATACATAGGGGCGGACATTGGGGCGGTTATTGTTGCCAGAGCTGCCCATCACAGGGCCGACTCGGAAGGTGCACAGGAAAACGCATCAACACGTGGTTGCTTGGACGTCCTGCCTTCCTTGTGGCCGAGCAGGCGCAATCGCAATTCAAACGCAATGCAATACAGAGCAAACCAAAAGTACACGAATGCTTATGCCCTAGGGGATCACTCGGCGGCGAACTCTCAACGAGGCAGGGGAGGATGTGACACGGAGAACATAAATCGCACCACGGCGGACGCGCGAGACAAATTTCGGCCACGCTGGGCAAACAAACTCTGGCGACGAAGCCGGGTCTTCAAATCACCTGCTCACACGGAGCAGTTCGCGTGCCACTGGGAGGCGCGTGAGCTATTGCAATATGTACTTAAGACTCCCGCTTGCGCTATGTAGTGTAGGTTCGCGGAGATGGCGCCTAATTACCCGCGCAACGTGCTCGCGTGACCACCCCCCGCGCTTGCGCAAAAACCCCACGTTCCCACCCGCAACTTGTTTGGCAAATCTCACGGGGCAGGTACTGCAGCTACCGACTGTCGCTTGCCAGCAAATCTGACCGTCGGCTCTGGCGCCCTGGCTCGACGTGACCTGAATTGGGCCTGGGCCCCGCCCGCGCGGGATGAAACCTTCGGGGGCCTGGGCCAAGCCAGAGTTGGACGTAATCTAAAATTAGCTTGGATCAATGACCAAGCGGGCCGCAGGCGGGTCACATAGCAATAGCAAGGGCTCGCAGGCGGGTCGCAACTCAGGCTGCGGCCTGGCAACAACAAGAAAGAGCAAAACCGACCTGCAGCAAGAAATCCCCCATGGGGTTCGTCTCCGCTACGCGGCCCGCCCCCGAGTACCAAATTATTCAGAGCGCCCCGTGCCCATGCGTGCCTTCGCCGTCCACGGCGACCTCGCCTCCTCCTCGGCCTGTAGTTCATCGCGCCTGGCCTCCAGCTCACCCTGCAGAAAAGCGATGCGCTCAATTGTCTCGCTCTCCTTCTTGGCCACCTCCCTCTCTGCCAGGCTCGCGTAAGCAGCACGTGCACCGACGCTCAACTTCAGAAAGCTCTTGCCGAGGTCTCGGACAAGGCCCGCTCTAGCGCCCACAGGGATGACGCTAGCCCCAGCCATGTCCTTCCATTTGTCGAACACGTCCCGCATGTATATGCATTTCGCATTGAGCCGCCGTGGGATTTTAGATTGCTCTGCTCTCAACTGGGACTCCAATTTGCGAGCACGTGGGTCTTCCCGAGATGGAGCCACCAGCGCGCGCATGAAGTGCGCGTGCGCCCTGCAGCGGAGCATATCTTGATGCATTGACGGGTGCATCCTTTTCATCAGCGCCGCCGAAGCGTGCTGCTGCTCCACGCCCAAGGTGGACCAAGGGAGGTTAGACATCTCCGTGACGATCTCGCAGAGGGCCTCGATAGGATACTTCTCTTGCATCAAAGTCCACAATTGAAAAGCAGAGGGCTCGACCGGGGCATCCCCAGCAGCCAAGTCCCTCAAGTTCGTTGCGGGATCCCCGTCGCAGAGAGACCATGGCAACTCGTTCACATCACGGAACAATTTGAAGCTGATGAACGTAGATGCTGTGAGACATGCCGAAGCCACCCTGCTCCGCAACTCACCGCCTCCAAACGCAGTCAAAGAGCCCACGATGACGTAAACGGCATCAGGCAAATCGTGAATCCAATCTACCTCGGACGACATCAGGTGCAACAGATAATCCACTTGCAGCATGACCCTATCATTTTTCATCAGAGATTGAACCATGTAATCGACGAGGCAACCAGCCAAACTCATAATT